TGTATGCGCAACTATGAGCAATTGAATAATAGAGTTAAATACCCTTTTTAATGCATACCTACCTGAATACATATTTTCATTGCTGTCTACATACACATGTTTATAATTTCGCACTTAGTAATCTAAAGCAGACACACCCAGCAGATCTTGGAACCATATTGATATTAAAGTATTGAAGTTAAAATCGTAGTTGATACTTATTTAGTTAAATTTTTTTTCAACTGTGTATCTTGTTAATGACGTTATGACTTTAAAACTGCAGGGTTTATAAATTGTATGTGTGTATACCTAATTGACATAATTATTGCAAATTTGGGTTATATTCAAAACACTTTTTAAGCAACATCCCTTTTGAGGAAATTTTAACGCATTCCGTGTTCTTGAATAAAAATATCAAATATTTATTGCCAAACCCAATTCTCAGAATAGTGTGAGAAGATATATTTCATAGACCACTATGACACTTTTAAAGTGGATTTTTTTTACTATAAAAATGGGTGTGGCAAAGTTCTAACTACTCCTTATGTTTTAATTGAATATTATTATAATTGTGTGCTAATTACAAGGACTAGTTCTTCTATTATTATACTGCTCCGATATTCACATCGCCCATTAACTGAAAGACTGTCATAATTCAAAATATGGGTTTTTTGAATTGGACTCTTGAAAATGTGTATGTGTTTGGTCGATTTAAAAAAAATTATATTATTTTCGGTAAAGAATCATAAAACAATCGTTAAAATGTCTTAAAACTTTCAATGTTGTTTTACAAAGCCTTTAGATTTAGGTCGATATTGTGGTAAATAAGCGATATGTATCTCATCTAATATAAAATAGTTATAAGTTTCCTTAGCTTAGTATTTCACTTATTACCAACAATTTTCGTAACAAGGCGTAAGAAGCATTCTTAAAGGATTATTGTTTACAAATATACTATTTTATATTATTTTACAATTTATTTATTCTATGAAAATTATGAAAAACTTTTGCTTACAAATAAATCCTTTATTAACCAGTATACAGGAATAAAAACAAAACATACCAAGGGAGAGAAGAAGAAAAAGATCCGCAAAAACCCAACAATTAAAACCAATATAAACTTTTAGCTCTGCTTAAGAGTATTTATTTAATACAAATTTTCTTTCTCACTCTTGAAACTAAGTATTATAGTGTGTTTTTGAAAGCCTTTTTCATAATAAAATAAAAATATAGGCAACAACAATAACAAAAATATATAAACAACAAAAAAAAAACAAATTTATATATAAAGCAATTAGTAGTGGTTAGGAAAATAGCAACTTTTACTTAAATCTAAGTAGATGAAGAGTTTTATACATTTCAATCATTCTTTTTGTTTTTTCGTGCTTTTTTTAATATTAATACCTTTGTTCCTTTATGTTCTATAAAAAATTTCCTTTCTTAATATTGGATTTTTCTTTTTATATTCTTACGTTTGCTAACATTTTATCCATTAGTGTTATTTTTGTTCACAAAAAGTTGGATTATTGAAAACTAGAGAACATAAAACGATAAACAAAGTAAAAATTATACATTGTATCTACTGCATCTAAAACATTTGTATGAACTTTGCAAACTATTTGTATATACACTAAGCACATTTTAGCACACGAGGAGAAAAATATGCGTGAACCTTTGAACCGATTTTGCTAATTTTCAATACTAAATCCGTTATTGGATAATAATGAACATTTTGGGTGAATTTCATTCATTGCCATTGATGCATTATAACGTGAGCGTGTTTTACACAGACAGAAAGACGGACATAGCTAAATCGATTCAGAATTTCATAACGACCCAGAATATATATAAGGGAGTCCCGTGGACCATTTTTTGCAGGAATACCTTTCAAACGATGCATTTAAATGTACCGAACACGTGAAAAATAAAACCAATTTTTTCTCATAAAAAGGCTGCTCCTCGGGACAATCTAATATACATATATACCCTCTATTACCGTTGATGGTGGTTGAGGGCATAAAAAGAGTCGTAATGTCCATAAGAATTTAATATACTATTCGTGAAGAATTTAAGAAACAGGCATTTTGGATTCCCTCAAAAAAAAGGATCCTGTATAGCCGACTTGGCGATGGCGTTTTAGAATCTTTGACCGTCATCTTTAAAATATTTAGTTTTATGTATGAAATCACAAACTGAAACCTATAAACTCTATGCTCGTGGTCAGAATCTCCCAAAAAAATTGCAAAATATTTTCTTGTAAAAAACCCAAGTATATTTCATTGCAAATAATACAATTCAGTTGTGTTGTATTCCTTTAAAAAAAAATCACAATTTTATGACACTTTAAGTAATGCTAACAGCTGCAACAGCTGTTGTAAAATAAAATCAGTTTGAAACGCTATAATCCGCTATACTTCAATTGCACAAATATTTACAATAAAGGTGACATCTGACACACTACAGTTTACCTGTTACATACAAAACTTATGTACTAATACATTAGAACTTTAGAGTAGTAAAGGTAAGTACAAGGTAAATAAGTACAATAAATAGTGTCTAATCAAGACACCTTTTAGTATTTACCTGTTTTGCTTAACCCCTTTAGTTTAACAACTATGTGATAGTAGCAAATATTTTAATTAAGTTGATTACAGGAAAAGTGATTCGTAATTAAAACAATTAAATTTTATTTGTTTTTGAATATGAAACTTTTTAAAGGTAAATTTAATTATTAGCTTTTATATTATTACTTAAACATTATTACGACTAGAGTTCGAATCCCACTGGCATTTCTATATATAGCGTGCAACAAAAATTACTGTGCTTTACCTTCGTAAACAATTTTGATGCACATATTTATAAAACATCTATTGATAAATGTATTTTTGTAATAGTTTTTCTGAATGTATAAAATTTATTATTTTCAGTGTCATGACATTTGATTTTATAGTAAAAGTAAAGTTTGGCAAAGCAACTTAAATCTTGGAATTGAAAAAAGTTAAAATGTCACCAGAGATCATGTGTGGTTTTTATTTTGTTGACCACAGGTTTATCTTATACTATTGTTAAACTAAACTGCATATGTATTAGGGTGGTCTTAGTTGTAATCAGTGTACGTTTTCTCCCTGTATAAGATTGTGATACTCCAGTGAAACGCACTGCCATGGGACTTACACATTGTGATTTACTAATTCCTGGCCTACAATAAGGACAATGGAGCAGGACAAACTAACAATCAATTGGAACAGAAATAACTACTCATTTGCAAATACAATTAAAAAAATTAGTTTTCAGTACTCAAATCAATCCGGAACTGTTTCAGAAGTATATTTAGTATTATTTTCCCTAAATCAAATACAAAATACTTGATTCCAGTACGTAACAGTTAAGTACAAAAAACCTAACATTAGCCGTTTTTCAAAAATGATCTTAAACTTATTTTGAGAACTTTCGGTTTGATTTAAACTTAAATGCATAATTGATTTGAGATAAAAAAATAAGATTGATTAAAGAATGTAAAAGATTGAATTAATCCCGAATTGGGCTTGATTTGAGCTCAATTCGTACTTGATTTCAGAATTAATCTTTGAATTTTAGTACATATAGCATCTAAACCTGTGAAACGAATAGTTCGAAGTTTGGACTGGGCTCAATTTACAATTTTTACACAAGAGGAACATCCTAATGATTTAGCTTAGTCTATTTGTTGGTTTTATTACTCCTGGTTTTTGTTGGCGCATATGTCATATTCTATGTACGGAGTAACTATGATTATTCATACGTTTCTATGCGTTGAATTGTTTATTTCGATTTGAACTGAACCTTTTTTTTTGGGGTGGGGAAGTAGTTAAATATTCATGCAATTTGTAGATTCCGTATTTTAACAAGATTTATGCGTTTCAGATTTATAGTGATGAATGTTAATTTTGAAAATTTTTTGTTGGTACAAAGGCAGTTATGTATTTATGGGAAAGTAAATATATGTATATGGGCCTTTTCGTATCAAGTGACCCAACTTAAAAAATCGATTTGGATGAAATTACCACCAAGATTAGTACATTTTGAAAAAAATAAAAATATAAATTTTATTTAAAAAAATTGGAAACATTGAAGAAATAGTTATCTAAAGTCCTTACCCAAATACCCTTGAAAATACAGTATTTTAAAGAATCTTGAAGTAGACCATAGACCTAATGGCAACGATTGTCATTGTTTTATGTCTTCATAGAGAAAAAGTTTAATGAAACTTCAATTCAATTACTAAAATGATTAAATTAATCAATAAAATTGTTAAATTTACACCTAATATTATAGTTCGAAGAAATATATTTTCTTCTATTTACTATATAAATAAAAATTATTACAAAAATCGCATATTTTTAAATGTCATAGTTAACCTAAAAGATGTTAAATTTTACCAAATGATTAAAACAATCAATAAAGTTGCTAAATTTACACCTTCCATTAAAATTTAATAACACGGAAATGTAAAATAAATATAATTGCTTCTATTAACTGAGTCCATAAATTTAAAAAACAAACATTTTCAAATGTCATCATAGTTAACCTAAAAGATATTAAACGACACACAAATACATATATCCCAAACCCACTGTTTGCCAGCAACCTTCAACATTAATATATACCCATATCGGTATTTAACATAAACATTTGGTATTGACATTTACACCCCCCGAAAAAAAGAATGACAACTTTTTTAAAAACAAATTTAATTAAAGTTTGTTTTGCAGTTTATCTGCAAAAACCACATTTGGTCGAAAAAATCATTTAAAAAACAGTTACGCCAAAACACAAATCAACAACTTCAGTTAAATGAAACAAAACATTTAGCTTTAATTTAATATTACACAGGGAACAAAGTTCATTTTATTAAATTAAAAAAAATTAAATCACATTTAAAAAGTTATACAAATCACGAATACTAAAAACTAAACAAATCTACACAAAAAATATATCTCACAGACAATTTTTACTTAAAACTATTATTTGACTTCCTTTTTCCGTCATATTACTGCAGGCAAATGATGAGGAATTTGCAGGTTGAACTAGCTTTTCACACATACTTATGCAGGCCTTAGCAAATGACGGTATAAGAAAAGGAGGTGGGGAGTAGGATGATGAGCTGCATATTACTCTTCCATTTTGATGGTTTGGTTCAGTTCTTGCACATATTCCATGTCATATCTTTGACGTAACTGCTGGAGTTTATCTTCGGGTAAACCTTGGCTAAGTAATTGATTTTCAGCTTGTTTAATGAGATCCTGTATACAGTCAAACATTTGAGCACTTTGTAGTAATTTCTGTGATATATATTTGTGACGATATTTCGATTTAGCTTTCTTGATTTTATTGTTATAACGTGAGCGGCGACAAGCCTCGGCCCGTTGTTGTTGCAAAAATTTCTGGTTTTCCCGCTTGGAAGAGGTGGAAACGGTTACAACATCTACCACATCATCGTCACTAGATGTTTGTTGCTGTTGTTGTGGCTGCTGATTGTTGTTGTTTCGTCGTTCAATTACTATGGGATTTTCCCTTAGCATTTGTTCCACGTATTGCTGTTCCTTCTTCAGAACATTTTCTTTTATAACCTTTAACTCCATCTCTACCATATGATCAATATTTTCCGGGTTAACATTCATAGCACTGGCCAGTGCCGCTGGATTGAATGGTTGTATTTGTAGGTCCTGTGACAGTGATTTATATATTTGTTGTAGAAAATATCCGTTTTCTGTTGAGTTTTCCATTATGCTGCTGTTCATTAGTTGCTGTGTTCTCTTTGAATGTGTTTAATGTAATGTGTGTTCTACTCAAAAAGCGTTAGGTTTTTATACAAATTTACTCTGTTAACCTTTAACCTTTAAATTTTCACGAATACCTGCTGCCTGTTTTCATATTCGCAAATATAATGTTAGGTAAAGGAAAAAGAATAATTTTATGATTTTGTTTTTCCATATTAAGATTTTATGATTCTGTTTTCGTTTTTTCTTCATTTTTCGAATAATTGTTTAAGATTAATTCATACAGCCGCAGATCTTATTGACAGATCGTTTATTTAATATGGGAAATTTCCCAGTTTATGCTGTAATTTGTAAAGTCTAGACTTTTGAAGTTAGCAAACTGTAATTAACATTATTATGTTAATCATTTTTGTCAAATGCTAATTGCTAATTAACTGGGACAAAAGTTTCTAATAAGAATTAGTGTTGGAAATACCAGTTAACTAATTCAACTTTAATATTTAATCACTATTCATCAATTTCCGAAACACAAATTAATGCCAATTTTTCATTCAACGCTTATTCTATTTTGCTTCTTTTCGGCAAGCACATCCGTAATAACTTCAACTTCGGTCAAAGGTTGCTCACCTTTTGACATTATTATTATTCACTTTCCTTATGATAACATTTTGCTAACAAGTCATAAATTAAATCCACCATGAAGCCGTTATTAACAGGACACAACTATTAACAGATGTCAGTTAGTTTTTTAAATTTAAAATCTGTGCTCAACCAGCTGTTTAATTTTTCTACAACACCTTCTTGGAAAACTAATTTGAATGGATTTATTTAGTAACATCATGTGTAAAAGTTATGCAGAAGGTAAAAAACATTTTATATTCAAATGGAATTTTGATGAATTTTCCAGGATGTTTTAAATCCAATTGCAAAATCCAAATTATTTGCAAAAATCCTAATACGATTATATGCACAAACATAAATATGCTAATATCTCAAATTTGACATTAAAATATACATACATATTTACCTACATATCTAAAATAATGGAAACTCCAAAATTTATCATTTAAAACTGCACGAACTTAAATTGCTAATTAGTACCTCAATAATGAGGAAATAAACCTAGTAGGAAACTACACCCGTGACTGGGTTTTATATATATTTATTTAATGAATAATAATTTTTTGTTAATACATAACTTTGCACTTAGAATTGCAGGACAATACTCATGGTCTCCATTGTCATATGAGTATGTGGCTGTTTTGATAGCAAGTGGCTACTCAATCCAAGAACATCGAAAGCAACATAGCCATGATCGTTTAATCGACTGAAAAAGAAAATACCCGGGAAAATCCGCATATCATTGTCGGGAAGTCAATATATCCACAAAGAGTGATTTTGTAGTGTTAGCATAATTTGCCCATTTTCTCGAAAATGAAAACATCAAGTAACTGACGAGCTCTACGGACGTTCAATGTGATAAATGGTATGAACTTAAACCTTGAGCAGATCAATGCACCCTATATCAGAGCTTTATCAAACAATTAATCTTTAGGGCAATAAGTTCGGTAACCGTGTTGTCTGACATTGCATTATTGACTATTAATCAGTGTGATATCACTGCCGACCGCATAAAAACTTTGATTTATTAAACAAAGAATTGGACGCAAAGAAGCAATCACCGCGATTACTGTGCGCAGATTTGTACAAAAAGTTTATAAATAACACTCATGATCTTCATCGTCGTACCAACAAGAATATGACTACTGTGGCAGAAAGTTCATAATTCAATTTTGGAACATCGACTCACTTACGATTTCATAAACTAGAGAGTAATGATCATTGTAGTTTTTTTGAAATACATATTTGTTTCTGCAGGATGGCTCATCATGATGTTACTGAAAACCAATCCAACTTTGAAGCACTATTTTTAGAAATCGTGATATCAGATGTTAAATCAACAATTGACGCTTTGGAGCTGCAATTTACGGAAATTATTTTGTCACTGAATAATCTAAAAACTTTCCATATCCTTAAGGCTAATATCTTCTGAGATTTTGTGAAATTGAACCAAAAACCAACAAAAAACTTTTAAAACTTAACAGACAAACTACTTCGAAGCCGTAACAGTCTTCGTTTTCGGGATTATATTAAATAGTAAAATTATACAAAATTTCTCAGATAAATGAATTTTTGTATTTAATTCATATGGGAGGTGACACGCCCCTATTTATAGTCCGCCCATTTTTTGTCTAAATACTCACAATGACACTAAAGTGATTTTAATTTGAGAACTCTAACTCTAATATTTTCTCAGATATAATAATTAATGTTTTTCTTTATATGGGAGGTACCACGCATGGATGCCCATTTTGTTCCCACATGTTCATATGGATATCAAAGTTTTCCATATTGTCCAAATTTGGGAACTGTAGCTATGCAGTTTCTGCGACGTTTAATATTTATTTTGTATGTGGGTGTTGCACTTGAAATTTCAAAAGCAACCTATAGTTCCTTCTAAGGCACTTCAAGAAAATCGGTCCAGCGGTTTAGCTGTAATAGTCATTTATGAATTTCATAATCAGCATACTCATGTGCGTTCAAATGACATTCCGGGAAGCCAATTTTCGCCACTAGATTAACTTATAATTAATCAAACATTTAACAAACAAATACATTAATATTTCTAAGTAAAAACCCTCAACATAAAAAGTAAGAATTTATAGTCCATGCAGTCCATCAGTGCTTATGTTTAAATTTAATTTTTACCTTGGGGACAGGCAGTTATGGGCCTATCCTTATAAATTTTGGTAGAGGGATTTACGTCCACAGTTATTATGCAGAATGTCATGGTGATATTACTGTTTATAAGTGAATTTTGATCATCAAGTCATTTTTTGAAGGGAACTTTGTATAGGGGATAGGGTCATTACGAAAATCAGAAGTATCATTAAGACTTCTATAAAACTAAGTTCTGCCTAAGTTCTTTTGGAGAAAGAGACAAGAACATTTAACATATATATGAGCTCAAAAGTCCTATTCGGGTGGTACGGTTTTATGGGGCTAAGCGAAATAATTGACCGATTTTAACCATTTTCCAAAAAGATGAGTATGTGCTAAATCTTATCAAGTTATCTTAAAAATTGCTACCGGTAGCGTGTGCACACACAGACGGACAAAAAGACGGACATAAGGACATTGCTACATCGACTCAGAAAGTCGATTGGTATACTTGAATGTATGACTAATATTTTTGGTTGTTACAAACACCACTATATTGATGAAGGGTTTATTCTAAATTGTAAATAAAATATCCTATAAGAGAGCGGGTAAATAAGCACCTAAATAAATTTAAGGCTTTCTTTTGATTTTGAGAAAAATAAATCCTAATATTTATTTTATTTGTGAATAATATGTATACGTATTAATTATTCTAATCTTAAACATTATAGACATGTTGATAAACACGTACAGAAACCATAATTTTTCCGCATCTAAAGAGATGCCTCTAACAAGCTCGAACATGTTTTAACACAAATAATAATACACAATTTAACCCTATGCAAATAAACAGATTAATAAACTCAAAACAGATAAACAACAAATTCGCGATACCAGCTATAACAAACAACAAATAAGAAAACGAAAATAAGTAAATAACAAAACCTTTTTATAATCCACCAAAAAACAGGTAGACAAATAGACAAACAGGCGACTTTTATCCCAATTTCCAGCATCAAAATAACATTTGTCAAACAGATGATGTAGCGAAAATAAAGAAACGAAGAAAAATATTTTCCGCTAAGTGCAAAAATAACAATTGAAGGGAAAATTTTGTTATGTAGACAACGAAATAAAATCATAAAAATTCTTATACAAACAATACCTGCTGAGAAACATCATAATCATCATCAGGAGCAGTAGTATCAGCATCATTTTATACAAGAAATATTATCTAACACAAACATACATATAAAAACTAATAGCAACAACAATAAAGTATGTGGTGACATTGAAGATGTTTGAAAATTGATAGAAATGTTATCAACTAAATTATGGAATCACACTGTGCGCACTGTGGCTTGATTGTCTGGTTACAAAGGCGATGATGTGTAAATGATAAACTGCATAGCAGTAGCTGGTCAATTTAGATAAGAAATAAAGTCATATATAAAATGCATTTACCAAACCCATTTGACATCTTAGTAATTACATTCAATTCAAAAGTTCAACACTTCCACAGAGAAGAAAAAATCAAATCGACAAACATATTTACTTGAAAAAGTTAAACGGACATTTTACTCAAATGAATCACTACCCACATCAACACCAGCAGAAACGACAACAAAGTCCTGATGAAAAAACAACAGGCATGATTTTACAGGATGCCTGCACATCCTTAACACAAAATCTCCAAATGCAATCCATCAATTCGTATCAGCACATAAGCTCTCAATATATTGATCAGGTTGTGGAAATTGAAATGAAACGTCTAAAAGCCAATTGCAGTCGAGAAGAAGAAAATTATGTTGAACAAATGCTTTTGGAAAATCCCATAATTGTCGAAAGACGTACAACAACATCATCTCTAAGTGAAGCAAATAATAATAATGATGCCACTGATTACTGTTACTCAAATGTTCAAGATGTCGATGTTGGCAAGGATGAAGAAATCTTTGGGCAACAACAACAACAACGTTCAGAATCCTGTCGTCGCTCTCGCATCAATAACAAAATTAAAAAAGCCAAATCGAAATATCGCCATAAGTTTATGTCGAATAAACTGCTGCAGAGTGCCAATGTATTGCAATGCTTACAGAAGCTAATTGAACAAACGGAAAATCAACTCATCAATCAGGGATTCAATGCATTACAATTGCTTGAATTAAGAAAAATTTTTTATAACGATGCAGAATAAAATTGTAATTAAGTAGTTGGAAGAGTATGAAATAAAACTTTTGAAATTATTGTTTTTTTCTTAAGCGTAATGGAATGCTTAAATTTATTTTCTTTATATTAAAAATAAAAGGAATTTTGTTCCAAAAATTAAATATTATCCAATGTAATCACGGCACATGGTTATACAAAGTATTCAACAACTGAATCTCCTAATCTAAGATCCTAAAGTAACCGCAGATTCTTCCTTATGTATATTTATGGTACTTTCCTCAATTTAAGGTGATTTGGAAAATCCCTTAGATATTTGCTGACAGATAGTGAGATAATGTTATTTCTGGTCATTAAGTAGAAAATTCAAAGTATTGGATCGATCCTCGCTCGCTTTTATAAAGATAGTTAGGTGTTTTTTTCGATCGACGTTGGAAAATTAAGCTTAGATCAAGAAAATAATGAAGGAACTAATACCGACTTTTGGGAAATTTTAAATGTGCTAGATTAATAGTTAGTTCTTTATTCGAATCGACATTCATTCGAAAATTGGATAATTAAGCTTCGGTAGACTCCGTGAAGCAGACTTTTAGGACATTTGATCCTGATTTTGTGGATCCAAACATGTGAAACTATAATGTTGGAATCTGGACGAGCCTCTAAATAAACAGGTTAATTTTGCCTATATATAAATTTCGGCTACAGATCAAGATGATCAATATCCTTTTCTGAAGCGACTTCTTTTCAAATGCCCATATCTTCAGTGTAGATTTAGCTGACGTGCTTGCCTTCTCAATTGATGATTTAGATTCGCCTTCGTCAGGATTTGCTTGAATTCTAAGTTGAATGGCCATAGAGAAAGGTACATCTTAGTTTTGACAGTATATAGATTTGAGGACGGAAAGCTCTTTTTCTTCTTGGATTTATGTTCAGTGTTCAACACATCGGGAGATTGAATTCTCTTTGACTCAGAAGAAATTAAAGAAGTGTTTGATTTACTCTTTGGAGTTTCCTTGAATCAAGCTGACTGCAGATTGATTAAATATGATATTCTGCAGCATCATCTTCAACTTTCTCCTTGATGTCCCAAGAATGCGTTTTTTGGTGGTCGATAGCTTGACTATGTTGTCACCGTAATTTCATCCCTGTTAGAATTAAGTATATAGTAATGCTGTTGTTGTTATAATTTGCTGAAGTTTCTTGCCTCTTCTTTTGTGAATTTCATGGTTCACACTTGATGTATTGTCCGCTACGGAATCTAACAAACTTACTTTCATAGTAGTATTTTGTTTGCCCATTGAGTTGAAGGCCCATAGAGAAAGGTACGTCTTAGTTTTGACGTTTCCAGAGCTTGACTCAATATAATATTCTGCAGTATCTTCTTAAACTTTCTCCTCTGTGTCGCCGTAACTTCATCCTTGTTGGAATTAGGTGTTGTTATTATAATTTGAGGATTCAGATTCGGATCTGTCACCTGCTCAGGTTATATAAAGAGCAGATTCTTATCCTCTTTCCTTTTGTCAAGTTCATGTTGTACACTTCAGGTATTGTCCGTTACGGAAGCCATGAAACCAACTTTCATAGTAGTATTTTGTTCAGGATCACACTAGAGAGTAGATATCACCAAAAGTTCTTTGAAGCTCCCTCCGAGCTTGATATATTGTCCGCCATTGAAAGAAAGAAGACCACTTTCGTAATAGTATTGTGTTCATTTCATAGTGCCACGACACATGACTAGCGAGTAGATCAACTCGCAGAATAGGCACAAATTGACTCGCATCATGGATTTTTATGTGCCACGACCTTGACTAGGGAACAGATATAAAATAGTCTAGGTCTCAGCAAAAAAATCGATCAAAGGCTCATAATATAAAGGACAGGGATTTGTAATAATAGATGAGTAGTTCACATCGTTAGGATGCTTAAGCCCCTGTACTGTATCTAAAAACTCAAGGTTAGCACCAACATTTGAGTTCTGCCGAGTTTTAAAAGGTTTAAATTCTCTGATATTTTTTTAGGTCTTATTATTAAGCACTTTATAAAAAGCCAGTTCATAAAGTGCTCATTTTTATGTACGTCGGTAATGATTACTCCATTTAAGGAAAATTCGAGTAGTAGGTATCCAATACCTGTGGAAAATAAATCCAATTCTACAAGTTTTCAAATACACAAGAATTTCCACATATCGTGTGACTTCTTCGCATAACTGGACGCTATGTCCAAAACATTGAGATACACAAATACTAACATGCAACCATCATGATTTTGTAACTTATTCAGTGACTTTTTGCATAGTTTTTTTTTATTCTTATTGTACTCATGCATATAAATGTTAAAGTTAAACTCGTAAATATCCTTAACATGTAGAGACATTCAAACATACATTCTAGGAGTAGTTAGTATCAACGTATGGGTATTCTCCATTTTATATTTTATTCCTGTGCTATTCCTTTTAGCTTTGGCGTCTTAAAAAAGGATAAAACAATGTATTCACTTGTCTGTTAGTATGTAATTCAACATGTTTTTTCTGTAAGAGTACAAGTATTTTGGCATGTTCATGACCGTTAAGCTTTCTTGTCTAATGTTAAGGCATGTTGCATGCAACATTATTGCAATAAAACATATTTATATATGTTTTTATATGTACCGGAATGTATGTCACTGTATGTTTATATATTTATAAAGACTTACGTGTATCAAAGCTGTATGTAACTTGTTGTTCTTGCTGTTGTTTTACAAACAACAACAACAACTAGAACAAAAAAATACATGTGGCAATAAATTTACACACACGCGCGCTTTTACATACACACACAAAACAACCGAAATCTCCACAAGGAAATACATGCAGAAATAAAAAACGAACAAACAAAAAAGTATTTTTTATTATGCAAAAAGAAATGAAATGAGACAACTTTGTTGGGTGACTTACATGTCCGGATCTTAAATTTTTAAGGTGTAAATGTGAAAAGTTCATTTTAACGAAACGTGAAGGACTTTAAAATGGTCGTTAGCGAAAAGGACGCTTAAAGGACTTTTGAGTTTAAAATTTGAACAAAATGGGCCGATTGGAGTATTTTTTTATCAAATCACATAGTATATATCCCATTATGTATCCCATAAAAAGAAAATTTATAGAAAATTTTCTTGAGAATTTTTAAAGAATTTTCTATAAAAAAATGTATTGAAAATTTTCTATAAAAAAAGAAAATTTATCGAGAGTTTTCCATAAAAAGAAAATTTATCGAGATTTCTCTATAAAAAGAAAATTTATCGGGACATTTCTATAAAAAGAAAATTTATCGGGATTTTTCTATAAAAAGAAAATTTATCGAAAAATTTCTATATAAATAAAATTTATCGAAAAATTTCTATAAAAACGCAATTTATTGAAATTTTCTATGAAAACACAATTTATCGAAAAATTTCTATAAAAATAAAATTTATCGAAAAATTTCTATAAAAACAAAATTTATCGAAAATTTTCTATACAAAGAAAATTTATTGAAAAATTTCTATAAAAATAAAATTTATCGAAAAATTTCTATAAAAAGAAAATTCATCGAAAAATTTCTATAAAAAGAAAATTCATCGAAAATTTTCTATACAAAGAAAATTCATCGAAAATTTTCTATACAAAGAAAATTCATCGAAAATTTTCTATACAAAGAAAATTCATCGAAAATTTTCTATACAAAGAAAATTCATCGAAAATTTTCTATACAAAGAAAATTTATCGAAAATTTTCTATACAAAGAAAATTTATCAAACATTTTCTATACAAAGAAAATTCATCGAAAATTTTCTATACAAAGAAAATTTATCGAAAATTTTCTATACAAAGAAAATTTATCAAACATTTTCTATACAAAGAAAATTTATCGAAAATTTTCTATACAAAGAAAATTTATCGAAAATTTTCTACACAAAGAAAATTTATCGAAAATTTTCTACACAAAGAAAATTTATCGAAAATTTTCTACACAAAGAAAATTTATGGAAAATTTTCTACACAAAGAAAATTTATCGAAAATTTTCTACACAAAGAAAATTTATCGAAAATTTTCTACACAAAGAAAATTTATCGAAAATTTTCTACACAAAGAAAATTTATCGAAAATTTTCTACACAAAGAAAATTTATCGAAAATTTTCTATACAAAGAAAATTTATCGAAAATTTTCTATAAAAAGAAAATTTATAGAAAGTTTTCTATAAAAAGAAAATTCTTCGAAAATTTTCTGTAAAATGAACATTTATCGCAAATTTTGTATGAAAAGAAAATTTATAGAAAGTTTTCTATAAAAAGAAAATTCTTCGAAAATTTTCTGTAAAATGAACATTTATCGCAAATTTTGTATGAAAAGAAAGTTGATCGAAAATTTTCTTTAAAAAGTAAATTTCTTATTTAATTGAAAGAAATTTTATTCAAAATTTTCTGTTAAAAAAATTATTGAAAATTTTCTCTAAAAATATTTTCTAAAGTGTCCTTTCTGCAATTTTTCATTCAAATGTTCATTAATGTCGTAAAAGAAAGAATATCAAAACAAAAACACTTAAGTATTTTACATTAATCCCCAAGGATTAAACTATACACCTATATATTCAACATTTCTTTCAACTTAAATTATATTCTCTACTGCATTTTAGTGTCACCAAGAAATTTCTATTATATGCCAAAGAATAAAATCCCTTTTTAATGAGATCCTTCCATACTAATTAAAGAAAAATGTCATATCAAACGCACAATAACAACATCAGCAACAGTAATAGTCATGCCAGCAATTGTAGATACAGTTGTTGCAACATTTATAAACACTTGTAATTATTTGTAAGTTACAACCACTCAACTTAAGAAAGCAAAAAATAATATTCATGACACTATTCTTAAAAATACAAGAATATTGCAAGCCAAAAAAATCAAACTATATAATATATACATACGTATCTGCTGAGAATGACAGAAACACTTGCAATACTAGAAGCAGCAACAGCACTTGATAAT